CCCACCGAAGCGTTCAAAATCGTGACCCGGTCGTCTAGGGAGACCGTGGCTGGAAGTGGGGTGGCCCGAGGAAGCCCCCTGAGGCCCCCGGGAGGCGCCCTCCTCCAGAATGTCCCAGGAAGCTCATGCAAATTTTGGTGTGCCCCCGAGGAGGCTCTCGAGGGAGGAACCACCGCACAACGAGCTGAGGAGGGTGGGGACCATTTTTCAGGGTAAGGCGAGAATCAGTAAGAGCGAGGAGACATGAGGGAAGGATCGCGAAAAACAGTATGATCACTATGATGCCGGAGAAAGCAGCAAGGAGCTATCGCTAAGCAACACGTTTTATCCTCCTGCCCTTCCGCCTGCATGCTAAACTTCAAGGTCCAAGGTGCATGGCGCGAAGCGCCAACGCAGTCTTGTATATGTACATACGTACCTAGATAGGGACCCGGGGCAGCCCTGATTTGGGTACAGGGCATCTTGCCTCCCCCTTGGCCGACTTTCGGCTTACTAAGGCGCGTGCGGTGGGCTGTCGAATGCCCCCAGTGCAGTCCGAGGTGTCTCCAGGACGGCTCAAAAGGGGTCCCAGACGGCCTGAGAGGGCATCTCGGCTGCAACAAATGGCTTCAAGACGGCCCCAGAAGCCTCCAAGACGGCCAAAGAGGACCCACAGAGAGCGTGCAAGAGGGTTTCCCGAGGACAGATATGGTGGTCTTCCATCTGTAGCTGAATTGTAGTTGTGTGTTTGGTCTTTGTGTTCTCGGGCATCTGCGCGCCCAAAGGGCTCCACACTGGCCCAGGAGGTTGGGATCTGAGTTGTTCGGGTTTTACTTCCGATTGGGATCTGGACCGTCTAGTTTGAGTCTGAAGCTTCCAGATGGGATTTGGACCTGTCTCGAGTGCTCCACCTGCGGCCCCAGCGGCAGGGTCCACGTGGACCCTGCCACATGCGGCTCCCCGCCAGCCGCATGTTCAATTTCGGCACACCGCTCACACGCTTCGTTGCTCCACTGGGAGCTTCACGGAAGGCCCCGGTGGCAAGGTCCACATGCGGTTCCTTGCCCACCGCATGTCCACATCGGCACACCCCTCACACGTGTCGTTCGGAGGTATATCGACCTCCCAATTACCCGGACACGACGATTAGCGAATTGGCTGCTTTCGGTTCGCGAGAGGGCGTCGCGGCCGCCCGGCCGCCTTTCTTGCAGGCCCAGGTCCGTCGGTTTCGGACCCAGGCCCCGTTTTCACTAAAGGGTGGTTTACTGAAGGGAGGCTGTTCACGAAAGGGTGGTTTACGAAAGGGTGGTTTCCTAAAGGGAGGCTGTGGCCCAACAGAGGGAGCTCCGCCTGTGGCCCCAGTGGCAGGGGCCACACGCGGCTCCCCGCGCACATCTCAGGAGGGGACAAAAACACACAGACACAATTAGTCGTCGATCCCCCAGAAAATATATGGGAAAATATGGGAAGTGGTGGGGAAGACAAAACCCCAGAAAATATCAGAACATATGGGGAATCTGTTTTTATTTGTGTGTATTCATTCGTGTGTCCCAGGGCCCCTTCAACATCGGCACACAGCACGCACGCATCGTGGCCCCACGGGGAGCGGCACCTGAGGTCCCCGTCGCAGGGCCCACACGCCGCTCCCCGCCCACTGCGGCACCCCCGCTCACCCGCGCCAGTGCCCCTTCCTTGGTCCCACGTGCCCTGCGGTATTCCCAGCTGCACATGGCTGGGTCCTTCGCCTCGGGGTCGTTCTGCGACCTCGGGGTGCCTCGGCTCTTCCACCCGTTTCGGCCGGTGCAGCTACTCGGCGTGCCTGGGAGAGGAGAGGCGGCAGAGGGTCTGCAGGGGCCCCAGGGCTCCCCCGGAGCGCCACCGAGACTCTGCAACATCTGGCCTGGCGCCCAAGTGAGCTAGAACTGGAGCGCGCGCGAGCGGTACATCGATATTGCCGCCCCCCCCGCGTGTGTGTGTGTGTGTGTGTGTGCTGTGTGGTGTGTGTGTGTGTGGTGTGTGTGTGTGTGTGTGTGTGTGGTGTGTGTCTGTGCTGTGGTGCTGCAGGGAGCGGGCGGGAAGGGAAGCGCCCTTTCCAGCACGCGTGGTCTTGGCCTCCAGGGGAGGTCTAGATGTCGTCCTCGTCCTCGTCCTCGCTGTCATCTTCGACGTTGTCGTCGCTGTCCGTCCTCGTCCTCGCCGTCAACTTCGACGTCGTCGTCGTCGTCGTCGTCGTCCTCGTTGTCCTCGTCCTCGTCCTCGGCTTTCTCCTTGTCGTCGCCCCCCCCAGTTCATCTCGGAGGGGGTGGGGGTGCGTGGGGGCCTGGGGCCAGGGAGGAAGGTGGAGCAGGCGGAGGAGGAGGGAGGAGGAGGAGGAGGAGGAGGGAGGAGGAGGAGGAGGGAGGAGGAGGAGGGAGGAGGAGGGAGGAGGAGGAGGAGGAGAGGAGGAGGAGGAGGAGGAGGAGGAGGAGGAGGAGGAGACGGAGGACAGGAGGAGGAGGAGGAGAGGAGGAGGAGGACGAGGAGGAGGAGGAGATGAAGAGGAGGAGGAGGAGGAGGAGGAGGAGGAGGGAGGGAAGAGGAGGAGGAGGAGGAGGAGGAGGAGGAGGAGGAGGAGGAGGAGGAGGAGGAGGACAGGAGGAGGCGGAGGAGGCGGGGCAGGGCGCGGCCCTGGAGCCCTGGAGCAGATGCCCTCGTCTCTCTTCCTGTCGGCTGCTGCTATTCATAAGCTGCAGCATGCTCGCTCACTCCCCTTTTACCTCTCCCGTAGTCGACGTCTGCCGCTCACTCCAGCTCCCTCTTTCTCGCACTCTTCCCTCTCTCTCTCTTTCTCTCTCTCTCTCTCTTCCTCCCCCTCCCTTTCTGTATACGTGTATAAAGATTTCCTGTTCTCTCCCTCTCTCTATATATAAATATATAGTTGTACGACCCGCGCTTCTCTCCCTCCCTCTCGTACCCTCTCTCTCACGCTCGCTTATCTTCCGTTCTAGTTTCTTGTTCTGGTTCACTTTTCTTATGTGCACTTCTCGTCCCTTCTCTTCTCTCTCCTCTTCTCTTCGTTTCTCTTCTCTTCTAGTATCGTCTTCTCGTCAATTATCTTCTAGAACATGTCTACGTTCTTCCCCTCTCGTCGATTGTTGGATCTTCTCTCCTCTTCTCTTCTCTTCTCTTGTCTTCTGTTCTCTTCTCTTTTCTGATCGTTCACTCTTTTCTCCTCTGCCTCACACTCATTCACTGTTTCTCTCTCTCTCTCTGTCTCTCTGTCTGTCTGCCTGCCTGTCTGTCTGCCTGCCTCTCTGTCTGCGTGTCTGTATCGCTCTCTCTGGCACTCTCTCGCTCCCTCCGTTAATCCATCTCGCGCTTCTCCCTCATTCATTTACTTCTTTTTTTGTCTCTCTCTCTCTCTCTCTCCTCTTGTCCCCCCTCTCCTGCCGCAGCTGCCGCAGCTGCTGCTCCCGCAGGCGTACGACGAGGACGAGGACGACGACAGGGGCAAAACGGAACCAGAGAGCAGGAGCCCGGGGAGGGCTGGGGAATGGAGATTGGTCTGGAGGTCGGGGAAGAGACGGCGGAGGAGGCGGAGCATAGAATATGGAGTATGGTGATGCTGATGACGAGGAGGAGGATGAGGAGGATTGAGGATGATGACGATGCCGACGATTATGATGATGAGGATGATGATGATGCTGATGGTGATGATGATGCTGATGATAATGATGATGCCGATGATGATGATGGTGATGATGATACGGGTGATGCTGATGATGATGTTGCTGATGATGCTGGCGATGATGATGCTGATGATGATGATGACGGTTATAATTCTGCTGCTGCTGCTGATGATGTTGGCGGTGCCGATGATGATGATGATGATGATGATGATGATGATGATGATGATGATGATGATGATGATGATGATGACGATAACGGTAATGGTGATGATGGTGAGGCTGGTACTGGTGATGATGATACCGGTGATGATGATGATGATGATGATGATGATGATGATGATGATGATGATGATGATGATGACGATGTTGATGCTGATGATGCTGGCGATGATGATAATTATGATGCTGCTGATGATGAGTATGATGCTGATAATGATGATGCTGATGATGCTGCTGATGATGAGGCTGATGATGATGAGAATGGGGATGATGCTGCTGCTGATGATGATGATGATGATGATGAGGATGATGATGATGATGATGATGATGATGATGATGATGATGATGATGATGATGATGATGATGATGATGATTGTGATGATGAGGATGATAATGCTGCTGATGATGATAATGGGGATGAGGATGTGGATGAGGAGGATGATGATAACGATGATGAAGATGATGCTGATCATGCTGATGCTGATGGTGATGATGCTGGTGATGATGCTGCTGATGATGGTGATGGTGGTGGTGGTGATTACGGTGATGATAATGCTGCTGATGATGATGATGAGAAGGAGGAGGAGAATGAGGGTGATGCTGATGATGATGCCGATCCTGACGCTGCTGCTGATGGTGATGGTGGTGATGCTGATGATGATGATTATGCTGATTCTGATGATGATGGCGACGATGACGATGATAGTGAATGTGATGCTGATGCTGATGCTGATCCTGCTGCTGCCGATGATGACGCTGCGAGGATGATTCTGATGATGATGTCGATGATGATGCTGATGATGCTGCTGATGATGATGCTGCTGATGAGGATGCGGATGATGATGCTGATGATGATGATGATTATGATGATGATGATGATGATGATGATGCTGATGCTGATGGTGATGATGCTGCTGCTGATGATGATGCTGATGATGTTGGTTCTGATGATGATGATGATGATGACGATGACGATGTGGTGGTTGTTGTTGATGATAATGGTGATCATGATGCTGATGCTGATGATGATGATGATGGTGATGCTGCTGATGATGATGCTACTGCTGCTGCTGCTGGTGATGATGATGGTGGTGATGATGATGCTGCTTATGATGATGGTGATGATGATGTCGA